AGTTTGCGTATAACCACTTCTATAAAAGAAGAGTGCTCTATCTGGAAGATTTGAAAACCTTAACAAGTAAGCTCGTGGTATTGTAATATTATTTTAGTAAAAATCAGAATGCATTTTGCAGTTTAATAATCTTCTTGACTTCCAAATATGTTTTCGATCACAGATATCTAGAGATGAGATTGTGAAATAATGGAATTAGAGACAGAAAAAAGGGGAAAATCCAAAGTTAACACTCACACACAATAAGAATGTAGTTTGCTTTCTGTATAACTTATGTGAATATTTATAAGATTCAAAGACTGATAAGATCAATCGCCAATGACCATTTCCCCTCAGGCTGCAATTTCATCACAGCTATCCTATCTACAGTGTGGTAGCTTGTCATTTAAAGGCAAAATAGTTTGAGTACTTTGATAAGCTCAAATCAAGGTTCTAAAAGTTGTGTACATAGCTCTATCTACCAATCTATCATCTATCTATCTCACACACACTATGGAAAAATTATTCTCAAATGCAAAACCAAAACATTTATAATGGCATTATGTGCTTCGAGTGGTATATAAATGTTACATGCTTTATTTGCAATCGCAGGATGAAATGTTAACTAATAATTTCTATTTTGATTCGACTGTCTTTGCTGAAATAGAAAAAACAAACTTGCCCAGCATCACCCTTTTAGGCTCTGTTAACGGGAAGCAAGTAGATTCCTTGAAAGCATAAGAACAGGGCGCAGGTCCCCACATACAGTGATGACCAAGGCATGCAAACCTGGCTGCTTCCTGGGGACAAATATTAGGTGAACACCAGGAACTAGATCACAATATTCTACTTGGAAGTTGCAAGTTCAGGAGGAAAGATAACTGGACATGAGTGTTTAAGAAATTGCTTAGAAACACAGATGAGGCGCCTTTGATTGGTTAGTTTGAATACCTAACTAAAAGGGTATTTCTGAGGCAATTTCTAAGGGACTTCTGATAAGTATCATATGTCAAGGCCCTCCTTTGAGACATGTCTTTGTTATGTGCAGGGACATCCATTGATCTGTACATACCCCTGATGATGCTGGTCCCATAACTAAAAAGAGAAACCAGTTTTTTGTTTTTTTTTCACAGCCTTTAAACTCTGAACCAGGCTCACTGATAGTTAAAACATAAGTTAGCCTGAGTCAGAGATCTGCGTCTGAAATCAGGCTCACCTCAACCATTTTGCCTTAATCAAGGGCCTTAATTTTAATGCTCCTGCACATAATCTCTTGGGTAATGCATGGGCAGGAACTTGTGACGAAATGGTATTGGGCCAATTCCAAGGCTCCTGAGCCTAACTATGCCAGGCACCTGTGTTCTGAAGATCTTACTTAAAACCAATGTATGTGAAAGAACACGCATGACTCTTAGAGTATTGTACTGTGTTGAAGAAAACAAAACAGCTGACACAGAGAATTATAGTTATGAGTCCATTTACATAGCATTTTTTAAATGAAAAAAGTATAGATGAGGAACAGATCAGTCAGGATGAGGGAGGGCAATGCAGGAAGATGAGACCACAAAGGTACAGCTCAAGAGAATTCCTTTGTGGCTCTGGAAAAGTTTGATTATGCTGGTGAATATATATTTTAACACGTGATAAAATGTCAAAGAATATACATGAAAACCTACAAAAGAAGAACGAGTGAGCACAAAAACTTGTGAAATCCAAGTTAGGTCTAAAGCCTAATTATTATATGTATTGTGCCAGTGTGAGCTTCCTGATTGTGATAATGTGCTACATTTCTACAAGATGTAACACAGGATCTCTCTAGTATTTTTGTAACTTCTTGTGAATTGAGAATTCATTCCAAAAAAGTTAGAAAACGAATGCCTCTGCTGAAGAAAGGATGCCAACTAGTCATAAAACTTATTCAGAAAACAATTGTACTAAAGACTCTAATGGACTGGCATTCTGTGATGCCTACCTTCTCAACACAATTGCTGAAGATCAAATAGGTGCATAAGCAAATGTGATGAAGGAAGCTGATGGTGCCCAGATATTACAAGACATAACTTAAAGGCTTGAAGTTACACAAGAGGCCATCTAGCAGGGAAGCAACAGAGCCCACATGGAAGAAGCACATTAGCCTGTGTGATCACGAGGTGTCCACGGGATTAGGTATCAGGCATCAGAAGACCCAAAACAAACAATCATAGCGATGTGAACAAGGGGAGATTGGAATGGAGACCCAAAGCCCATCTGTAGACAACTGGACATCCCCTCACAGAAGGGTCACAAGGAAGGGAGGAGTCAGCTAGGGTGTAGTATAGCACTAATGAAACACACAACATTCCTTCAGTTCTTTAATGCTTCCTCGCCCCCCCCCCCCCCCCCCCCCCCACACACACACACACTATCATGACCCCAGTTCTACCTTACAAAACCGGCTAGATTGGAGCATGTATACTGGTACAGATAAGAGCTCTCAACACATGGAATCCAGGACAGATAACCCCCTCAGGAACAGTAATGGGAGTAGTGATACCAAGAGGGCGGGGGAAGGTGGGTGGAGAAGAGGGAGAAAAGGGGAACAAATCTCAATGATCAATGTGTAACTCCCCCCACGCACACACACACCAAGGGGGATGAACAACAGAAACATGGGTGAAGGGAGACAGAGGATGGTGTAAGATATGAAAATAATAATAAATTCTAATTTATCAAGGATTCACCAGGGTGGAAGGGTGGGGGAGGGAGGGCAAAAAGAGAAGCTGATACGAAGGATTCCAGTTGTTGGAATTGTTTTGAAAAAGATGATGGCAACATATGTACAGGTGTCCTTGATAGAATTGAGGTATGGATTGTTATGATTTATTTTTTGAAAGTACATATTAACATAATTGCTGTCAAACCACTGTACACTTGTAAAAGTTGAATTGGCAAAAGTTGCATAGCAAAAATGTTAACAGTGAAAAAAAACTGGTGTCTTTTTGGATATGGCTTTTAGATATAGTGCTAGCCACTCCTTCATATCCAGGTCTATAGGCTTATACTTTACACAGTACTGTTTCTATGGCTTCTATTCCAGTTGTAGAATCAGCACATTTTAGAGGTGAGGGGTACTTTACAGAGAATGTAGACCAAACTAGTAAGTTACACCTCTCTGAGCTTTGATAATTTCATTTGTAGCATGAGCATTTTGTCCTGGATTCTTGGTAATGTCTAAATGTATTATTTTGTTCCAAATGTTTTAACCCACTACATCCACCTGTGCATTCAACATGAATATGACTGCACAATTTATAATATGCTCATACCTGTGTAACAGCTTGAAGCACTTGTGAAGATTAACAATACCCTTCAATATGGAATACAACTTTATGTAAAGAAAGCAAGAATCCTCATAACGGATCTCGTAGACAACATCATGACGAATGAAAAGATTTCAAGGAGTTCATTTTACTTGGATTCAATATTAACATTCATGGAAGCAAGGACATTGCATTGGCAAACCTTTCCACATACTTGTTAAAGAGCAAGTATGGTACTTTGAAGATTGTGATTGTTAGGTTTTATGTCAACTTGGATGGGCCAGGTTTCCCTCCTAACAATCTCTCACAGTAGGGTCAACCCCTCGATGGGATTTTCTGTGAAGAAGCCACACAGTTGTGGACAACCTTGATAGAACTGAGAGGTCTCATTCAGCATGTGGCCTATTCTTAGTATACATTGACAGTGTGTGGATGCTAGCAGACTTCAGTTGCTGGATTTGGATCCCATATCTGTTCATTGACCTGTTACTGCCTGCTGATCCCAACCTTGGATTCATTTGGCCAATCTCAGCTTCATTCAGCCTGGGATCCGCCAGCGTTTGGTCTTCTTGCTTCCTGTACACCAGCCCCTGCAGCTACAAGCGTCAGAAGCCTTGCTCTCATATACTTCATGCAGATGTACCCACTTCTACCTGTGAGTTGTGTCTTGATATAAATCACTTTCTATATACACACACATACAAGCCTCACTGGTTTGACTTCCCCAGAGGACCCAGAATTATAACACAAGGACTCAGATGCATGTGACCCAGCCACAGTATTTTCAGTTGCATCTTATGTGGAAATTTGGCAGTAACTAAGATTGGAAAACGAGTTGATACATTTGAATTACAATGCTAGCTAAGAATACTGCGAACACCCTGGACTGCCAGAACAAATTGGTTTGGGAGGAACAGCCAGAACCCTCCTTGTACAAAAGGATAGTGAAACTTCATCTTGTATACTTGGGACACGCTGTCCGCAGGGAGCATCCCTGGAGAAGTCATCATGCCTGGGAAAGTGGAAGCTCAGCAGCACAGAGGAAGACTCCCAGCAAGAGGGACTGGCACAATGGCTGCAACAAGGGGCACAGGGGTCACAATTGTGAGGGTGGTCTGAGGCGGGGCAGTGCTTCATGCTGTTGTCCAAAGGGTCACTGGGAATAGGAACTGAGTCAAGGGCACTGACAACAACTTTTGCAGCTTACGAAGGTTGGCCATTGTCAGGGCAGAAAGGTTAGGCAGTCTCCCAGAGGTGATCCCGGGACACAATGCCTTTCTTTCCTCCAGTATCCAGTATTTGCATAGGAGGTGGTTTCTTAAGTCAGTCTCTCTCAGGGCAGGTTGGTGACTGCACATCAGACCTATTGAATCATTCTTGGAGAGAACGTGGGCAAGTACTGACACTTAGAAAATGGGGAAAAAGTTAGGTATTACCACCATTTGGGAATAAATGGAGATCTTCTCCCTAAAGAACCAATATGGCTTAAGGTTATTTATTCATCTCCATTACGTTTGTCCGTGGAAGGCTAGTAACTGATGCCTTTGGGGGAAAGCGCCCACAAGAGACACAATCTCAGAATCCCTAAGGCTGTATTTTGCTTGGAAAGTACAAAAGGTTGTAAGCACAGTAGCATTTTGTATTTTCTGTATTGATTTCCCTGAAGTTGTTAACAATTTACATTTTAGTTTTTTAAAAAACAAATCACGTCTGATAGCAGCATCAGTGTAATCATTTTATTAACAAAGGAACCCATGGGGTTCAAACAAGAGTACAAAATACCAATAGCCCCCACCTTGTGGGTTAAACTGGTACATTTTTAACAATAAAGATTTTTAAAGTGTTCATCGTTAACACAAACAAAACCCCTGCCTCTGTGTGTGTGTGTGTGTGTGCGCGCGCAAACAAAAACACAAAAAGTTAAGTTTTGTTCATGGAAGGCGTCCATGTGCCAAAATTTACAGGTTTTCACTTTTTAAATTTTTGCAGCTAAAAAAAGTCTAAGGTCACATTTTTGGGGTACATTGTAAGAGAACAATAGGGCAATAAGCAAGCAAATAACAAATGCTAAGTGCTTACTCTTCAGTCCCAAGTATTCTTTGTTCCACTGTAGAATTTTCTCCCTTTATATTTTCCTGCTTTTTAATGGTATTTCATGCAGTTTCGACCTATAGCAAAGGTTGGATATCCGTTCGATAAGCCAGGCTTTCTTAGCAGTGCTCTGAAGCTACCTCGTCAATGCCACTCAACTTTGAGGGTGGGTGGGGCTGCACGATTCCATGATACAGATGGCACACGACCCCAGAGGCGCTGTTCATCACACAAAGTGCTGAACACTCGTCTCCGAGCTGCGCGCTCTCCGGGTGCTCTTCCCTGTTTTCTGTGAAGGCGTTTGGGTGGCACGATGGTCACAGTGACGTGAACCCGTGTCCCTCGTGGGCAAACGCCTGGAGAAGGACCCCTGGAAGGATCACCGCCTGGCAGCACATTCCCCTCTGGCCTCGTGGGCTGTCCAGGAGGAGGCAGAGGCCACCCGGCGGCAGTGGTTTGGTTTGACGGGTTTGTCACTTTGTTTTGGCTTAAGGAGAAGGAAAGTGTCTATCTAATGGAAGACACGTAAACTACAACATAAAACAAAGTTAAAAATTAGCTGAAGCAATTCCTGTTTAAAGTAAAATTAAAACTGTTTAGACAACGCACAAGTACACATACCTTTAAAAAAGATACAAACAAGCAAACCCCCAAAAAGCAACAACAACAACAACAACAACAACAACAGCACGAAAGACTGAGTCATGGAGGACATTGTGACAACTTCAGCCCTAGAATCACTGGTGTGACAATTTTGCATTTTGATTTTTAAACAGTAGCTTAAATGTCAGAAGTGCTTACAAGGCTTACAGGATTATAGGTACGAGAGGCATGCCCGGAAGGATGGAAAGTATCTATTTGCCTAGTGTTTACTGAAAAATCCCTGATCGAGTGGCTAATGTTCAAACCAAAAATGCCGCTGTAGGAGAACTGATCTACCTTGCAGACATTCTGTGGAATGCAGAATGAGGAGCACCAAGTTCCCAGATCCAACCTGAGGCGGAGCCAAAGCACGAGTCTGAGCTACAGCATCACGGCCTCCCCGCCACCGTGCACTTAATGTCTACATCTGCTCGCGACTCTCCAAGCCAATGGACTGAAAGAAAGGCAAGTGACAATGTGACCATGCACCAAAGGGGAGGGGCGCACAGTAAAAACACTGCTTGGATTTTTAGCGGCATCACATTCAGCTGGTCTGAATATCCTGAGAAAAAATTTTAATAGTGCACCAAAACAAAAAATAAAATCACAGTTTAAATAGGATTACTACAGAACTGTAATGGTAACGTATAATAGTGTCTGCCATCCGTTCACTTATGTCTCTTGAAAGAAATCAAATTTGTGTCATATGTAATGGTATTTCCACACACTCCCCTGCCCACCCCTTTGATCCTGCGTTTATTTTGCAATACCATTATGTGTACATAGAGTTACTTCAATTTAATGCCAAAGTTACAGGTTTTCCCCTGGTCCACTTTCAGACTTAAGAATTGGTTAGATAGAACTGTTACTTCCAGTAGCAGAAATGCCACAGGAGAGTTATCAGGCCTATAGTTTCAAAAACATAGCTGAGAACCCCACTGGAGGTAGGTTGAAAAAAGGCCCCTTTTTTTTTGTCTGTAGGCATCAAGTGGTCTTGAAGATACCCACCTTTCCCACTCCTCTCTGTAATGTGCTTCTTGTGGAATGTGTAGGTAAGCTAGAAAGAAAATACCTGCTAAATGGTCACAGGGGATAAAAAGTAGAGCCTTCAACAAAATATGGGTTCTCAGCTAATCCCACCTTTCCCCTTTGAACAAGCCTTTCAAAGAACCCTTTCTTGGTTTTTTAATACCGTATACCCAATTTATAAACGCTAGTTTAAGAAATCATTGGAAGAGTGAAGACTATTACTTCATAGAGACCTCGGCCATTACCTTGAGGACATTTCTGGTCAAGGTTCCAGGAAGAAAGCACTGAGACCCTGGAACCCGAGGGTTACATTTCGAGCGTTCAGCAAGCCGCGGAGCCATGCTCTTAAGTCATGCACAGCCTGATGCGGCCGTCCTCGCCCCAGCCAAGACTTCTGATGAGCCCCTATTCTTTTAAAGTTCCATTCAGGAAATCTTTTTTACAGGTTTATGTGTGCAGTGCTTCCACCATATGCAAAGGTCATTTTCTCCTGGGTCAGCACAGGCACCACCCTCACCCTAACACGTACTCTGTTGTCACCGGCAAGACTTGCAGTCCACTCAGTGATTTACCACATCTTCACCGGTGACTGTAAGGGACCATCACATACATTTGTGGGATGAGCCTGTTTACCCATGGAAAGCGCATGCCTTCCTTACTTTCTCTTATCTTCCGTCTTGATATTTGTTTGTTCGTAAGCTAATCTTCTCTCCTTCTCCTTCAGAAAGGCAAGAGGAAACAACACTGTTCTATTTGACGGTGGTCACAGGACGAAGGAAACAGCCTGGGCTTCTTCTACATCACTAGGGTGTGGGTCAACCTGCAGCAAAAGAGCAGACGACTGTAGCATTCTGGGAAATGATCCTCGTTCCAATTTCTAATTATACCACATTTACAATCCCAGCCAGTTTCTTAGAGCTTGTTCTGAAGAAGTCCCAATAGGCCACTTAATGTCTCTGACTCTACAGTCCTAGAGCACTCTTTGAAGTCTATCCATCCATGGTGTGGTATGTGCAAGGCATACATCACAAGGTCAATACTGTAAAATGGGCTTGATGAATCAGGGACCATCTACCCCTGTCAAATGTTTATATGTATCCTCTAGGAATTATGAGTTAGCAACAGGCACTTTACTGAATGAAAACCAGCAAATGGTTATTTGCATGGAAACAGCACGATAAAAGTCTAATTTCCTTCTGCTAGTTTACCTCTGAATAAAGAGGTGGAGGCTGGAACTGGAATTCCTGTATGCAGGCAAACACAGGGCAGTGTGAGGCTTCTCCCTCACAACTGGGCAGCTGAGCGTAAGAAGGATTGTGTCTTGCGAATTCCTCCTCTGACACCACGTCTGCATAATTTGGTGGAGCTAGGAGAGAAATGGAGTTGAATCCAAGAAGTGCATTCAAAATTAGATTACTAGTCAAACCAAACTCACTGCCATCAAATCCATTCCAACTCCTGGTCGACCTGCCCCCGTGGGTTTGCGAGACTGACTCTTTGCAGGAGTAGAAAACTTCATCTTTCTCCCACGGGGCATGTTTTGAACTGTTCGCAACTTAGAACAATCATCTATTGAAGCCAAACGGTCAATAATTACTCTACAGCATAGGCTCTCAACCTTATTTCACCTATTGCTCCCTTAAAAAAAATTACTCAGCCCACCACCTGGCAATGAAAAACTTTGTATCCATAATCCAGGATAAAGAGCAGTTATCAGCTGTTACAAACCCACCACTCCCACCACCACCACCTCCAAGTTCCAGTGCCCCTCAAGGAGCGCTGTCACCGACTGCGGGAAACGTGCAAGGGGACCAGGACACCGAGAGAAGGGCGCCCAGAGGGAATGCCTCAGAATGTGTGGGTGATGTCCCATAAAACTGTTTACACACAGCCAACCCCCACCGGGATATTGATAGGAACTGCATTATTACTGTTTGCTGTTTATGTCAATAAAATTATTTTCTTAAATTAAAAAAATATTTTAAAAAAATTTAAAAAATATTTAAACCCTGTGAAAAATGTAACAAATGTCTCTGAACATTTTGTACTAATTTTTAAATAGGACCTTAACTTTCTGGGTAGTCTTTCACTGAAAACAATAAACTAAATATTTTTTAAAATCTTATTAACTATATTGTTTTTAAACTCTTATTAAAATATATGCTAAGTATTAAGCTGAAACTATTACATGTTTTTACCTCCAATCAGCACGCTCTTGCATCTATGCCAACAATAAAACTTTAATGTTGTTGTTTGTTAACATCAAACTGATTGCTGCTTGTGGCAACCTCATAGACACTTGTTTTACAAAACTGCTGTCAACAAGTAAATTCCATCCTTCTGAGATACGTATTTGCATACATAAGTAAGTCCCATTGAAATGTGGCCTGAGAGAATGCATTAACACTATGATCTTGTTTGGGCAAGCTTACATCACTGTAGTACTTCAAGGCAGATCAGGAAATGTGAATTATATTTCTGGACTGCCATGAACAGCTTGTACCGTATTAAAATCTTAAGGTCCCTTCAGAAATACTATTTTAAGATTATTTATAAGTAATACAAATCATCATTAGAGTACCAGCAGTAATTAACATGTGAGCACTTACTAAGTAACTTCTTACCCAGGTAACTCGCTACCTCTAGTTAATTCTGACACACAGTGACCCCGTATCTATCAGAGGAGACCTGTGCTCCGTAGGGCTTTTAGGCTGTGCTCTTTTGGAAAGAGATTGCTGGGTTTCATCTGGGCACCTCCAGGTGATTTGAATTGCCAAGCTTTCAATTAGTAGTCTACCATTTAACCCTCTGTGCTACTCAGAGAGTCCAGTAATTGACATTTGCCCGATTATCAAGTAACTTCTTAGGTAGACTACATGTGCAATTTCACTACGAAATAACTCCCAAGCAACTTACCTTCAGGCCGTTCTGGTAGGGTCAGTGCCAACCAGCTCATATCCACACTAAGCTGGTTGGCAACACTGGAGTTTCTGCTGCCAAAACCATTGTATGGGACCGTGCCAATCACTAATGGCAACTCCAGCATCAGATTTTTAGTACCAGGAATGCCAACGTACACCTAATATGGCAAAGAAAGCAAAAAGACACATAAAAGTTAAATATCATGGTAGATAATTCAACATTTATTTTTCCACAGATAATTCAACAATTTACTTCTCCACCTGCCATGCCCTCGGTGGACTTGGGCTGGCAGGACACCTTAAAGAGCAAGCAAACTGGAGAGCTCTGTGCCCAGGAACTGCAGCCTTAACACACTTCCCTGTCTGCTGCAAGTCTTCCTAAATGTGTGCCAGGGTTCCAACACCTACAGGAGCGCTGGTGGAGTAGCGGTTATGTGTTGGGCTGCGATCGGCATGCTCGACCGTTTGAAACCCTGAGCAGCTCCTCTCAGGAGAAAGACTGGTTCTACTCCGGTAAACAGTTACAGTCTTGGAAACCCACAGGAAGTCAGTATGAGTCAGCACTGACTCAGTAACAGTGAGTTTTAGAGCTGATGAACCTAACTCATAACAACCCAACCCTGAGGGGCAGAGGGGAATTGCCCCTTCGAGTTTGCTAGGCTGTAATCGTTGTGGGAGCAGAGCATCAGGTCTTCTGTTTAACGGGAAGTTAAGAATATATCTTCAATATAACAAGCTAAAAGTATATGATTTTTTATGGTATTTAATTAAATGGAGGGATAGTTTTGACAGGAAAAAAAGGGCACTCTTCACATATTCAATAACTTGGTATACGGTGATCTAAAATGCTATAATTGAGGGATTCACTGAACACATACATCCACAGTAACATGGTACTGGCTATTATTCAATTTTACTTGCTTTTAATTTCAGGGAGCCCTGTGCTTACAGCTAGGGAATAGTCCACTCGGATAATGCAGCAATCCAGGATGGAGGGGGTAACAGGTGGGATCTCCAAGATCATGCCATTCCACGTGTCTGTGAAGCCAGGAGTGATGAAGTTTCCTCGGATCTTGATGACCATGTGACGGACAGTCTTTGTTTTCCCACTCCCCAAGTACGTCTGCGTTTGAAAAAGGGCAGCTTTGGGAACAACAAGATCAGAAGAATAGTTCTCTATCTCTGCATAGATTGGAATAGCTTCTCCTGAAAATAGAACAAGAACACGGTGGATGCACAAACCTTTCAACATTGTCACCACAGCAGGATCCTGCCAGAACCAATTAAATGTGAAAGGCCCGTCACTACTTGGCAGACTGAGCAGCACCGACGGAAGACACTGCTCTCTCACTGTGGCCTTCCTTCCTGCGCTCATGTTCCCACAGTAGTCATCATCCTGAAGGTATGTAAATAGCTCGTATCTACAGACACCATGACGTACTGACAAGTGATTTAGCATTAGGTTAAGTGTAAAAGATCATTACCAAAGCGAAGCCAAACTTACTGATGCCTACCGTCAAGGCGATTCTGACTCATAGGACAGAGTGTGACCGCCCATGGGGTTGCCAAGGCCATGGTCTTTAGAAAAGCAGATCGGCCTCTTATTGCTTCTTAAGAGCGGCTGGTGGGTCCAACCTGCTGACCATTAGCATCTAAACCACTGTCCCATCAGAGCTCATGTAACCAATTCATTTACTCAGATTCTGTCCAACATGAAAACAGTCTTTGCCTACATGACATTAATAATATTAAGGTGAGCTTTATGATAAAAGGGAGTTTTATGATATAATACAATCCCAACTCCACTTTCATGTGCAGCAATCCAAGCCTGGAATTGGACTAATTACGCATGGTAATTCCACTCTCAATCTGAGGGCTAATGACGGTTGAATGGTCTACATCCCAGTTCCATCTCCGTGCTTAGGTCAAACCAGCATAGAATCAGAATGTCTGCAGTATGTTCTTATCACATTAGCTTTCTTCTTAGTGGCCTGCATAGGCATATTCCTCTCCAACAGTAAAATAAAATGCTGGAATTTTCCTACGCTTCATATAACAGGATTAAAATTAGGAATACTAGGAATTTTATTGAGACTAATTAATGCATTAAAATAATTAAATATCAATTACTGATATAAAAACAAAATGTTATTATTCATGTTTTAAACACTATATACAAGACATGCTCTTTAAATAACTTGGCATTTAGTTAATGCAATAAATTATTTTCCCACTTGGCCTTGCAAGCACTGACTTACCATTACAGTATCCCTTTCTCTCAATTTTGGCACTCAGGGAGACTGGGCCCGAAGTGAAAATCCAACAGCCAACCATTTTTTCTTGAGTTTTCAATACAGGCGTCTTGAGAATATCAAAGAATAAAATTTCCTTTATTAAACTAGTCTATAGAGCATCCATAGAACTTAACGTCATGCTATTCTTTGCAGATGAAATACCTACTAAAGGACAAAGCAATTTTTCTTACCTATATTTAACATATTGAATAAAATACTTACAAAAATACAAGGTATTAAAAGTGACCCCTCTTTTAGAAAATTAAAATGAATTTATAGATCTAAATTAGCATAATGTCATGACCTCTTTTACCCTGTAGTCATTACATACCTGGGAAATGATAAAACATTCCTTAAGAGTCCAAAGCGGTATTAGTATTTACTAACATGTCAGAACTACCCCCTTTTTATTTTATGGTTTTACATGTAGGTCAGGTAAAAGGAGAAATGGAATAAAAATCCATAACTATAGAGAACTATTATATTTGTTTTGGAACCACTGTTTTCTCTTTATGCGCCGTCAGCAAACAACCCATTTTTTTCTTCAAAATTCACCATATGACAGAAACTTCAAGAGCTTTTCGTTGCCATGGGGTTTAGATTCTGGGACTAGCAGTGCACAACAGGCACAGAGCACAGTGCTGAGCACAGCCGTCTACCGAGTCTAGCATCAAAATATAGGGCCCCGGATTGAAAATGCCCCATTTGTAAGCCCTGCAAGCCAAATACTCAGAATGCCTTACAATATGTCTGGTCTCTTTCTAAAACAGAGATCGTCCTTTTAGCACAACTAATGTCCCTTTACATCATCTTCTCCCACTATAAACAGCTGAGAGAGTGACCCTCCGCATTCTACGCAGCCTATACACTGACAGACACTCTGCATCGCCAATTTCCCAGACTGGCCGCAGGCGGAGACCAGGGTCTCTGGGGCTGGCTGTTTATGATCTCAGCGACCAGGGACCACGCAAGCCAGAGCACCAACCAGGGTGTGTTCCTCTCTCTTTGAAATCTAGAAATGAACTTGGACGTAAATTCTGTTGTTGTGATTGGAGATTGAGTGAAACAACTTGCAATCCTGGCTTTTTCTTTGTTTCTGAGAGTGCTGGGCAGAAGACAGACCCCCCAGTGCTAAACACCATCCTTGCCGCGGCAGTGTCATGACGGAAAGCTTAAATCATCTCAGTGGTTTCTATGAAAGGAAGTTTTATTCACATTTAAATGAAGACCCATTAGGTCCTAGCAGCTATCGTGAAAGTACAAGGTATAATTTTATATTATTTTGATAATATGGGTTTAGATAAAAGCATCTCGCTCATTAGCGCCCATCTTGCCTATTCTGTTGTTACTTATAGCCTGATCTTTCTTATCAGCCTACAGTATTTCTGGTGATTACTACAAGTTCAATGCTTTAATGTGGCCAAATCTGTCACAAGGAAATGCGAAGTGAAAGGGCCGCCCGCGGCAGCTGCATGCACTTACTGCATGCTAGAAAATGACATGCAGAATGGAAGGGCCCGCAGCATAATGGCCTGGGCCTCAATCACAGGCTGAGCGTGATTAATACTCTCCCGTAATTACTGTTCCTCAACCTGCTATTACTGAAGAGTGGGGAACGCCACAGCCCTAGGAAGACAGTGCGCTGGTAAAAGGAACTACTCTCTGTGTGTGCATTATTGTGATTAAGCCTTATTAATGCATTTCAAGTCTATGTAACTTTTTGGCAAAAGAAGCCCCGAACAGCAGGGACATAATCAATAGTATTAACACACACAATTTGTCATTTGCCCAACCTACTATCATATACTTACAGTGAATGCCTATGGGTTACAAGACGGCATTTTCTAAGCCACCAGAGAGACAGCCAGAACCACCAGTGAACTGGCCAAATGTGGGAACTGCCGTTGGAGGGACGGAGAAAGAGGCAGTGAACTTACCAGTAGTGCTGGGGTGTTGATGTCAACATGACTAACCACCTGGAGTTCCCGCTCCACACTCTGATCCGGGACCTTGGGTCGTTCCAAAACCGCCTTTACGCAGTACTGAATGCTCCCATATTTCCCAGTGAATGAGGTTACCAAAGGTCTGAAACCAACCAAAAACATTTATCTACAAGCTGAATTTTCAGGTAGACACAAAAAGGAAGAGACTGTAAGATGTTGGTTTGGGTTGAGAAAAAGATTAGATCTATTCAGTCTTTTTAGTGGGGCCTTGGGATAAACGTACACCCCTATAAACCTGTATGGACATCCTGCACGGAAGTAAACAGCAAAGAGCAGTTTCACTTACTCAGTTGGAAGCTGAAAGCTAAATGGAAATTCATGTTTTCCAGGCGGCAGTAAAATGGCGCCTTCACCTAGAAGAGAGGACACATTTTCTTTAACTGTAGCTAGTATTAAATCAAGAAGGTTCATCATTTATAACAGATTTAAAACAAGGTTTTTCTGGTTGTAAGATCCTCCAAATGTTCATTAAGTAGGGGTTTAGAGAATTAAAATTTGAATCCAGTGTGACTAAACTTAATTTCCAGGTACACTTGTATATTTTTGGCCTCCTGAAAGAATCAGACCACATTCTTTGGGCAGCGATGGAAAGGAGGTAAAATGCCTAGCTGGTGGCAGCATTAACACTGGTGTAACTAAAACAGGCAAAGCAACAGGGCAAGTTATTAAATTCATGTCTTCACATTCGAGCTCCAGTAATTAACACCGCATTTCTGAGGTGCACTTAGGGCATAGAGAGGGCTTTGCCAAGTTCATCTTCCGTTCATCTCCTGCAGGGGCTTACTCCTGACGGTGAGAAACCTAAGCCCTGGGACCTCTGGTGAGTATGCGCAGACCACCTGTACAATCAAGCCCAGAGCGGACTCTGGCTCCAATCAGTGGTGTCAGTAGGAAGCAGGAAGTGAGGGCCAGGACAGGTGACACTCCTAGAGGACTACCACCAATATAGCTGTGTATAAAGTTTGTGTGCAGTGTTTCATCAGAAATTACTTTTAAAATAAACACCTCTCTGTAGTTTGTTACCAAGGGGCCCTGGACGCGTAGTGGGTTACTGATTGGGCTGCTGACTGCAAGGTCAGCGATTTTAACCTAACAGCCGATCCTAGGGAGAAAGGTGAAACCATGTGCTATAATGGGCTCAGGCAGACGAACTCTTGTGATGGCACAGGGCTGCGTAGTGCTGTGGGTCAGAACCAAGTCAATGGAGCCTGTAAAGATGTATCGTCTCGGAGACCCAAGGAGTCGTTCTATCCAGCCTTATAGGGTGCTTTGCGTCTGAACCAACTCAGTGGTCAGGCTGGGTTTTAGTTCTAACAACAAGAAATGTGTTTGAGCAAACCCAGCTTATATGTATACACGGCCCTAAAGGTCAAAAATCAATGGTTTCCAAGCCTTGATTACACTCCAGGGTGCCTGGTGGCACAGTGGTTAACCAAGTGCTGTTAACCTATCAGCTGCCTCTGCGGCCTCTGCGTTCATACAGATTACAGCCATGGAGACCCTCGGGGCAGTCCGATCTGTGCTCTTGCCTGTCTGTGTTGGAATTGACTAGCAGGCAGTAGGTTAGATTTGGTCTAATACATTCTAGTCAGAGCTGTTATTTCCCAACAGCAATGACGCTTCAATCACACGATGTTGTCTGCATGCGCTACAAGCATGTGGTATTCGTGTTGTTCCTGGTGTTTTTAGTTACTGACTTTGTCAAGTTTTCTTGTGTTTTAGCTACAGCATTATGGTACTTAGTATTTATGAATTTCTATCAGTAACTTTTTTGAAAATAAAGTAGTAATTAAAGGCAAAGGAGGAGAAAAATTGTAAAAGGGTTCTGCTCAGTTACTAATAATGTTGTCGCTAATTCTGTACTTCAATATAGATTTTATGAAACAATTTTGTTGTTAAACTCACTGTCAGTGAGTTGATTCCAAACCACAGTACTCACATAATCTAGGATATAGGATATATGACATTGAGACAATTTACTACTACATTTATCCAATATTTTTATGACTCAATTGATGCAAAGTAGCACTAAAGGTCTGCATGGAATACTACAGAGAGGAGGCCATGAGAACACCGTGGTGATGGCCGGCTCCAAGAGTCGGTCAGGGGCTCCCGGGAGGCACTTCGAAGCGGATTTTATGTTCACGGGTTCAACCTCAGAATCAAATTCCTCTTCATGGTTGGGGTATGTACGTGAAGGGTAGGACAAACGGAGCACATTCTTTGAGATTTGCCTGGTCATCTGATATTAAAGTGAGCTTTTTGATCTTCTGTATTCATTGAAGACTTTTTGTTTTATGAAGGGGATGAAATTACTGAAATATATATAGTTATATATATAAAATTATATTTATATAAAAACAAACATATAAATGTATTCTATAAACATATTTATATATAACATATAGATTTATTATATATAAATATATAATAAATATAAAATATAAGTATATATTTAGCACCTCAATCTTTTACTTAAAAAAAAAAAAAAGGCTCAAATTATGAGCCCAGTAAGTCTTCTAAATCAATCTCAGGGAGAAAACACTGGCAGGTGACTTGGAGCGCAGTGCGTCGTTGACCGGGTGGGAGAGCATGGGAAAGGACAGTGACAGAGTGATCAGGTGTGTTCCGGAGCTGTCCCGTGAGCCACAGAACTCCTGCAAGAGCACACCATTCCTGGAGCAAGGGAAGCTTCTCGAGTCACATGAAGGACTCAGGGCAATGCCAATGGTTCCAAGACGGCTGGGTAAGGTTCTAGTTTTTAAGCATAGGGATGCAGATTTCATTTCTGCGTTCAAATAACGAGTGCTTTGCTGTCAGCCAATGTGGACAGAAAGCGACCCATGTGTCTCCTTAACCCGACCAGTGGAAGGGAAGGAGGCCTACTGGTCATGACCATGGGGGCAAGAGCCCAGAACACCCACATGGGGACCATGCTAGACAAGAGGCAGAAAACAGCAAGTTATCAAGATACCTAAAGAGGATGAGTTGAAATCGTCTCTTGCAGAGAAAATGAATCACCACAGGGATTATAACATTTAGTGAAACTTCCAGTCATCTTAAAACATAAAAGGAACTATTGAGGAAGTTGTTAAACATGAGTTGCTCCCAGAGAAGTCTCCGAAGAAAGGCCTGATGACTGCTTCCCAAACTCCAGCTACCGGAAACCCGATGGGGCAGTTCTACTCTGAACGTTTGGGGCTACCTACCCAGAGCCAGAGTCAATTTGATGTTAGCTGGGTTTTACACTACTGTTGAATCAAATCTTTCTTTCCTTGTATTCCTATTAGAAGGCTCACAACCTGAACTACAAGCCCATTTCTGCGTCTGTTCTCAGAGCCTTTTGCGGGCAGGCCCAGAGGTCTACAGGTCTGGTTCCTTCACTGAGTGACCTCAGAGCCAAGGGTCTGTGTAAGTCGTGACCACTGCCGAGGCAGAGACCAGGGCTGAAGAGTACGATGCTGATGGATGAGCAAGAAGTGCAGTCAGCTCTCCTATCCTCTCTTTTCTTTCCACCAGTTTCCTCTAGAAAAATATGAAGAGAATCAAGCACAATGGCAGCAAACCATTGGGTTACGAGTGATACCAAACAATTACTTGGGGAGATATTTTGAGAATAAATCCCAAATTACCCTTGCAAGCATTCTGCAATTCCCCAAATCTTTTCACTTGTTGGAAATGAAGCCAGATTTTTTAATTAAGTGGCCCTGTGAATGCATGACTACCCCACGTTGCTGACTTCTTCCAAGCTCATAGTTCGTTGTTGATGGGGACTTTCTAGTTAATTTTGACACGTGACAACCCCATGTGGCCAAGTAGCATTGCCACACGGGTGTTCCAGGCCCTGGTGGCACAGGGGTTAAGCACTCAACAATGAACCAAAAGGTTCAGTGGTTTGAATTCGTCAGCCACTCTCTAGGAGAAAGATGTGAGAGCCTGCCTCCATAAAGACTGGAAAGTTATAGGGCAATTCGACTCTGTCCCACAGGGTCACTCTGAATTGGAACCAACTGCAGTGAGCAATCTTCACAGAGCATGCCACCAGGTCTCTCTCCCACTGAGCTGCTGGGGGGAACTGAACCACCATCCTTTTGGTTAGCAGTCCAGTGCTTCACCTTTTGGCTATCAGTCGTCCTTATAAACATGATGGTAACCTTTTTTTCCTCAATGAAATCAGCTAAAACAGACTATCAGTTTAAAGTAAAATTACGTTTTTCTTTTTAATGATAGACTCTAAGGTTAGTTAAAGATTTTCACACTATGGAAAAATGAGACTTGTGTACTAAAAACTACCTGATTCTGCAGATTTTGTCCAGGAAATTTTCACAGCAAATCTCAGATTCACTTGTTTATGTTCATCTTAAATCTACTTACTCAGTATTACAGGCCCAAAGATAAAGAGAATCCCAAACCCCAGGCAAATAAACCATTCTCCATTCCATGGCTCTTGACTCTAGTCAGGCATGGTGACGTATACACTGTCTGTCCCTAGTGGGGAGGGATATGTGGGCGGAACCTAAAAACTCTACTGATGAAAAGGTAGGTAAGAGCTGTCACCTTCTGTCTCCAAATCCGTTTTCCCTCTTAAATTCTGAGATTACGTGAGGGCTACCGTATGGCCAGCCTCCTTCTCCACTGTACCGTTTCCCTGAAAGTAAAACATTCCCCGAAAATAAGACCTACTTACAGTTTTGCCTCTCGCTGAACTATAAGGCATCCCCCCCAAAATAAGGCCCCCCGAAGCTACTGTAACTCTGGACTCTGGACCGTAGCGCCGCCTCGCAGCTCACTGTTGGCCGCAGCACGGCCGGAGCAGACAGGACGTGCGAGGTCTCTTTTAATAAAACAATAAACAATACATGTGAACCGTATTCTTCTTCATGGAACAATAAGACATCCCCTGAAAATAAGACCTAGCGCATCTTTGGGAGCAAAAATTAATATAAGACACTGTCTTATTTTGGGGGAAACAGGGTAGGAAGGAAAAACTATACTGCTGATTTTGTAGACAGCAGAGCAAATGAACAAAAAGTACCTTTCACTCCTCAAGGGGTGGAGGGTGTAGACAGCAGAGCAAATGAACAAAAAGTACCTTTCACTCCTCAAGGGGTGGAGGGTGTATATCATTAGATCATGATACACATTATAGAAGAAAACTACTGAAACATAAAGGTAACTGCTTAGCAGACTAAAAGAAGTCCAAGACTGGTTTTCAGTCATCATTCCGGTATTTGGGTGATTCATGGCATCACTTTTCACCCACAGCATTCACTAAACCCGCTTGGAGTGAGTTCTCAAGTTTTCCCATGTCTACAATAGACTTCACAAGAGTGATCTCTACCCCGGGAACTATAGCCCTGTCCAGAAGTCATTGTCTTTAATGGATTACTGGGGGGGCGGGGGCGGGAGGGGGGATGCTAAGGAAACACAAGGAAGTCATGGAAAATGAAAGTCAAAGAAGGTAAGGCCCAGGTGGTGTGTTAGTAAACTGTCTCAGAAGAGTTAGGCTGCCCATGTCGAGATGCGCTTCCTTTGAATCCACTCCTCAGGAACCACATCCCTCTTCCCAACATTTGTTTTGTCCACTCCTGAGGAACAAAGGCTGCGTGTTTGAGACCAGGATGAGAGCAACACCTGGGCACCAGGGGATGGAACCTCATAGACTCTCTTCCACTCTCCATCCCTTGTGCCAGATGGGAGATCCCTTGCCCTCATGCTGCCCACTAGAGTCCCATGGGAGTGGCCTACTCTTTCCAAGGCCCTAGGAGGCGCGGATTCCAGGATTCCAGGTGCTGGTCAGGCCTCAGTGAGGGGGCGCACCTAGCCCCCCACCCCACCAGCCTCAGGGTGGTTGTGAGCTGGGGGCACAGGCACTGCCACCCGCCCCACCGGGAGTCCATTTGCAGGTGGGGCCGACTCTGCCAGGGAGCCACACTGGTTCCACCTGGCAGGCACCCCGCCGGTGCAGCCCCTCCCCCGGGCGGCCCCCCTCCCAGACGGGGAGCCGAGGCTCACCGGCCCGGGGCTGGAGCAGGCGCAGACGCAGGTTCAGGTACTCCACCTCCGAGGCGGCGGCCGGGGCGGGCGCGAGGACCGAGCCGGCCAGGCCCCAGGCGGTGGTGGCGCGGCCCCGGGCCTCCAGGCGCAGGGCGCGCAGGGTCACCGGCTCCGCGGCCTCCAGCTGCACGTGCCCGGCCACCGTCTCGCCGCTCGAGTAGTAGCCTTTGCGCTCCTCGTCCAGCACCAGACCCAGGCTCTTCACGCGGCCATTGGCGACCAAGGCCGCCGCGGAGCCTGCCTCGCCCCCCATCGCGCCCGGAGACCAGGGCCCCCCGAGGGCAGGCGGCAGCGGCCCGGAGCCGAGGTTGCCTGGTAAGTAGCGTCGCTGTCACGGCCCCCGCCGCACGCAGAGGGCCGCCAAGGCCGTTGGGCTGTCCACCTAGAATACCAACGGGCGTCGTGGAGCCTGTCGCTTTAACAAACCCAGCCAGCACGAGAAAGGGGCTGGGACAGCCCGCCCTCGACGCGCACCCATAGGTTGGCGCTGAGCGCTGAGCCCGACTGATTGGCTAGGAATGGCTACTGAGGCATTTCATTGGCGCCCCCGCGCGGAGGCTGGAGCAGGACTGTACTGCGTGATCAGTGAGTGCTGACCAATGGGAGCATGCGGGCGTGCACGTGCACAGAGAGCTTATTGGCTGGGGCAAGGCACTGTCCCGGGGCTTGGACGAATTGCGTGGCAGTGCGCACATGTGGACAGACGGTGGGAAACAATATCTGTCAGGGAGGGGGCAGAGCAGGCTGTCCCCAGTTCAGTGCTTGTCCGTGGTTCCTATGGCTACACCCGGGGGGCGGAGCTTCTAGCATCTTGAAGCTCTTTGCCTGATGAACTTGGTTTATGCTGGATTCTAAAAGTTGTGAGGGGAAATGACCTGATTTAATTATGAGCGTTACAGTGCTGTAAAGGGAATAGGTGGCCTGGAAAATGGACCTCAGGAATATTTCTCTGACGTTTTGGGGCTGGAGGCATAGGAACTTCAATGGACCAGCTGGAATCTGTTAAGACTCCAGGCTCCTGAACCCCGCCTTTCCCAGGTGGGTTGTGGCCCGGATTCACAATTGCCCACAAGGATCCGAGCAGCAGACAGGAAGAATGAAGAAAGACTGTGGTTCTAGAACTGGCCCTGCCCTTAAGGCATTCTGCACTGGGTGCAAAAGCCTCTTCACGCTGGGAATGACTAATCATGACTAATAATGTCCTGAGCTGGGTTGTATCAGAGCAACATCTATCCCCCAAGTTTCAGCCCCACCCAGAAGGATGGCCTGACTTCAGTCTGTCCAGAAACATTTCCAGTTGCCCTGATGCGTTGTTCACACACCTACAACTTCTACCCGCCCTTTTTCTTACTTAATCCTCAATGCTTCTTAGTTTGAAATCTCTTTGACCATTTAGCATAGCTGTCAATTTCTGGTCATTTCCTAATGTCTTTAAATTCCTTATTAATCAGAATTCCAACTTTGTGAGTTATTATCAGTCGGGTGTGCTGAATAGCTGCCAAGGTAATAGCTGCATAAGAACCAGTACTCATTATATTAGTCTATACATTTATCTTGTTTCCGCCTAGACATTTTTATTAAGTAAATTTAATTTGTGTTTACACATATCTAGATCTTAATTTGGGGGCTGCACATATCAAGTCAAAAGTGTTGCTACAAAATCATAGAAACATTTGTTAAACAGAAGTATTAAGATGTGACACTATTGTTTCTCAATAGATACTCCACCCACGGATTTGCACCGCAGCTAGAGATGAATACTAAAATTGTGTTTTAGAGCTCTTCCCTGAAGGGTTCGTGCTCTTCAATCTAAGCCACATCAAAATTACAGTGTATGCATCCTCACGGCATTCAAATTGTGTTCCTTTTCAATGTTCTTGGAGTTCCAGGGGGTAAATTCAGGCCTGGTTAAGTGGAGGGGGTGAGGTTTCCGAAGGAAATTCTCAAAGGCAGCCCTTGCTAGCCTCAAGGAACGAACAGGTGCATTCTCATGAGGAGAAAAAAGAGCATCAGCACTATTACCCTGTCCTTTTTATCACCAATACAATTATCAGATTAAAAAAATCTTCATAATACAACCTCATGACCATCCTCTGTCCTTAGAGAAATTTTATTAAGATTCCACAGTCACCATAACCTTCTGCATAGTCCTCTGCCTTGAATTTAACAGGTTCAAGTATGTCCCTTACCTTAGAAACCAGTTTGTTTGTTTAGCTTTAAAAAAATAATTTTACTGGGGGCTCTTACAGCTCTTATAACAATCCATACATCAGTTGTTGCAAGCACATATGTACATGTTGCCATCATCATTTTCAAAACATTTTCTTTCTACCTGAGCCCTTGGGATCATCTCCTCTTTTTTTTCCTCCCCGCCCCCCCTTGATAAATTATAAATTATCATTATAAATTATATTATAATAAATAATAAATATTATTTATTAATATTATGTTCATATCTTACACTGACCGCTGCCTCCCTTCCCAAACATTTCTGCTGTTCTTCCCCTTTGGGGGGGGGGTGTTATAGGTCAGTCATCTTGATAGGTTCCCCCTTTTCTCCACCCCCACCCCCACCTTTCCCCTACCCTCCATATTGCTACTCACATTTCTCTTCCTGAAGGGTTTGTCTGTCCTGGTCTCTGTGTTAAGAGCTCTTGTCTGTACCACTACGTATGTCAGGTCTAGCTGGATTTGTAAGGTAGAGCTGGGGTCATGATACTGGGGGTGAGGAAGCCTCAAGGAACCAGAGGAATATTGTGTACATCATCGGACCTATACTGCACCCTGGCTGATTCGTCCCTTCTGTTTGACCCTTGTGTGAGAAGATATTCAGTTGTCTATAAATGGGTTTGGGGTCTCCATTCCAACCTCCCTTATTCTCAACAATATGATTATTTGTTTTGGGTCTTCTGATGCCTGTTAACCTGGTCCTGTCAATCACACAGGTTGGCGTGCTTCTTCCATGTGGGCTTATTGCTTCTCTGCTAGATGACCACTTGCTTAACTTCAGGCCTTTAAGACCCTAGACACTATATCTTGTAATAGTTGGGCACCACCAGCTTTCTTCACCACATTTGTTTATGCACCCATTTTGTCTTCAGTGATTGTATCAGGAGGGTGAGCATCATAGAATGCAGGTTACTAGACAAAGTGTTCTTGCATTAAGGGGCGGGCTTGAGTAGAAGCCCAAAGTCCATCCACATGCCATATAAATATATGTCAATAGGCCAATGCCTCCATTTTTATGAATTAATACATATGAACACAACTGTGTTTCTACCTCTATCAGTGGCTTTGCTTCCTAGATCTTTCTTCTGTACCCTTTTACCTTCCTCTTGCCCCCCCCCCATGCCCCCCCGCCCCATCACACCCACCCTTCATTTGTCTTTCAATAATTCCTCTCAGCTAGATTACTGTTGCTCCAACACCACCAGGGCCCCTCTGGCCCCCTTGCCATTGATTTTAATTCCCTAGTTGTTCTGCTGTCCATGACACTGTTTGGTCACCACCCCCGTCCCCTCCCCATGTTCCCTGGAACCATTGGTCCCATGGCTTTCTCCTCGGGCCTGCTTCCCATGGCTATTTATATAATCAGACAAAGCAGCAAGAATGGAGACAAAGCAAAAGATAGAAGGGGAGAAATAAAAAAGAGAGAAAGAAAAAAAATCCATACATAATTCAATACCTCTGCTCTGACCTTTGAGACCATCTCCCCGCTGGCCCTAGGGAACCCTGGGTACTTCCCCTCCTGGCCTGAAGTCTCCTTGGGGGTCTCCTCAGAGGCTCCATGGCTTTGCTCCCATTGCTGATCTGTGATGCTCCCTTCTTGCTTCTCCCCACTGGGGGGAGTTCAGACTGGGCTCACTCCCCACAGTGTGTCCCCTGTATTGTCCTCTGTTGCAGTGTGCTCTAGTGAAGGGACATTGTGTTTTTTGGTTTTGTTTTGTTTTTCATATTTTGATCATTTTATTTAGTAAAGTTTCTATGATTTTGAAGTAATACATCTTGACTTATCTTTGTATATCTTTACAATGCTGTTATGCCATTCATGAGCATCTTATTATTTATTTGAGTTTTCTTTTTTTTTAATCGTTTTATTAGGGGCTCATACGACTCTTATCACAATCCATACATACATAAATTGTGTAAAGCACATTTGTACATTCATTGCCCTCGTCATTCTCAAAACATTTTCTCTCCACTTAAGCCCCCGGCATCA